CCCACTTGGTCATAAGGCCAATGAGGGCTGGGTCAAAGCCAGGAGCAGATTCATCTTCATCAACCTTACGCAAGGTAGGAGGCCCAGTACTTGGTCCATCGCCTGCTGTCTTGCCCAGTTCATTGGCAATAAGCTGGATCAGAAGTGAAGCAGCAGTGGGGCACTACTTAGTACCCATATCAAATGCCTGCATCACCTGTATCAGCTTTACCAGGAATACTACAGTGCTGGCTCCTGCAATATTTTTAAGGAATTAAAGCTTAATATGAATGAGTTCATGATAATAACTGAAAACCTGTTTCCCCATACTTACTCAGGAACCAGAATGGGAACAGACCATTTGATAGTGGTCAAGGTGACTGCGTGCCATGTAAGAATGCATAGGAATGCCTGGAACTGAATCCTTGCTTTACTCTCAGCTCCCAATACCTGCTGATGATATTCTGGGAGGCATCAGGTGGCAACGGCTCTAGTGGTGGGTCTCTGCCACCTGTGTGCAGTGGAGATGCACTGCAGTACCCACTATATCTCGACAACTCAATACTAGATTTTCTATTGCTGTCTATACATAAAAAAATCGTGGTACACTTACATTGCAGAATGCTGTACTGCAATGCTGACTGTTGCTGAAGGAGTAAATTATTGTTGTAATAATATGGGGGAACTAGTGAAGGGAGGAAAAGTGAGGGGTAGGAGAAGGAGGGGGGACTCCATATCCCTACAAAACTATACCATGGAAAATAATGATAGCGATTAAAAATAGACACACAAGAGATTCTACTCGGTTGCTGTAAGCTGCCTTCAGTCTGGTCCACCTGCAGGCATGCTGGGCATCTGGGGAAAGAACCAGCAGACTGGAGTGTTTCTGTCCATTTCTTTGATTCTCTAATGAAATTAATTAAACAATAAAAGTGAGAGTGAAAAATCTGCTTCAATAAGGTAGATTTAGACATTCAAGAGTAAGTTGAGCTGAGGGGTATTGACATGGGTTTTCACACAACCCTCTATGCTGAAAGGTACATTGCGTAGTTTTACTGCTCTTCAGAGTCCTTCTTGACATATATACGTAAATATATATACATATATACGCGTATACATTTGTTGCAGTCAGGGTGAGATAAGCTGGTAAAGGTAGGGATACTTGAAGGGGTTATTAGAGGCGAGAATTGACTTCTGTATCACAAATATAAAATAAAATAGTTTGTCCTTCTATAGCATTGCATCACTGCACTCATTCTAAAATAGTAGTTTGACATATGTGACTCTGGCGTCGGCAGAGTCTCTGAGGATACACCTGCAACCTATGTATTAACGTGTAGAACACATCACGTGAATGAGTAGGAACACGCATGCACATAACCAGAATTTCAACGCAGGCCGTCTGATGTGGAATGCAGCGTTGTAAGCAGGATCCTAACCACCTTGGTAGATGCCTGGCCGTATTCTGTCGAGGTTGCTCCTCAGCCCGCAGACTAGACTGGCCTGAGGCGACTCCTTGCTGCTACGTTGCCACCTCACTGCTTCAAGTAGTCTGTCTATAGACTTTCCTCTGAGCAGCTGCTACTTTTCCTAACCATTCGTCTCCCTCCACTTCCCCTGTTTAATTTTAGCTTTGCTTCTTTCAATGCAAATTTCAGCTTCAAATAGTTCCTTGAGTGCATCTGAATGTTATAGTTTTGTATCATTGTAAAAAAAAAAAAACCACTTAAAATAGAAAAGACGTGCCATGTTTTCTGAACAATTTAATTAGGGTTATTAACTTTAACCAAATCACAATCTAAATATCACTCGCAAGCTTTCCTGAGAGTAGAGTGTTTTGTTTTTGTTTCTGTTTTGAATTATTTGAATGATTGATACACAGAGGGCCATCTGCTGCTTCATTGAGCCAAAAGTAGGAGCCACTTACTCAATCCATGTCGACCACGTGGGCGATGGGGACCCAAGTTCATGAACCTGCTGTTTCCCGATTTAGAAGGAAGCTGGAACTCAAACGTGGCTGCTGTGAAACAGGTGCAAGTTGACACCTCTTTCCCTGTCACTCCCCTTTGAGCTTCTCTGCCCCTCAAAATATGTAAGTGAAGGAGAGTTTAGACATCTGAGCAGCACGTGTGCTTCCTTTATTTCGTGTTTTCACACTGTGATTGCTAATACCCTCATATTTATGAAGCATGATGCATGCTGTTTAGGATGAACTATGTAATTAGTATGTTTTGGATAAATGTCTCAATATAAGCTTATAACAGAATTCTTCAATCCTTGTCAGTTTGTGCAAAAATATACATGGCACATTTAACACATACACATTACATAAGCGCTCAGAGCATCTGTATTTAGTGAAATGTCAGGATCTTGAGGCCACGGTGAACAGCATGAGCATTCCTTTGAAGCCTCTGCTGAGAGAGGCAGCCTCCTTTCATCAAAGGCACAGCTGCAATGCGGCAGGGGGGACCAGAACCAAGGCTCCTGTGGCTCTAAATAAGTTGACTTTTAAAGTTTAGTATTAGGGGCACAGTAGTCCAGTGACTAAACTTCTTGCTTTACATACACTGGGCTCCCATATGGGTACTGGGGTCCATATGGGCACCGGTTCGTGTCCTGGCTGACCCACTTCCCATCCAGCTCCCTGCTTGGGGCCGGGAGACCCAGAGGAGGCTTCTGGCTCCTGACTTTGGATCTGTTCAGCTGCAGCCATTTCAGCCATTTGAGGAGTGAGCCAGTGAATGGAAGATCTGTCTCTTCTTCTCTTTGCAAATCTTCCTTTCCAATTAAAAACAAACTTTTAAAAAACGTTTAACATTGAGGGTCTTATGACTGTTGCCTTTGTCTTCCAGGCACAGTTGGAAATTGCAGCTTGCAGCAGACCTTGCAGCTACTAGAATACGGATTGTACTTGCTTGCATATTTGATGTAGGTTTTTCATGCTTCTTCACAGAGGAAGCTAACAGAATGCACAGGATGGAATAAAGCAGAAAATTACCAGTTGGGTTGAGAAGGTGGTGAAGAGGCAGAAGTGAAGAGGGGGCAGGTTGCTTCCGACCAGGAAATTTTACTGTCCAGCATCCCGTGTTCGCCCCCAAGCTGAGGAGGTGAGCAAGGGGGGCTATTTTGGGACCAGGTGTGGCGGTCACTTGGCTTTCTGTGCTTGCGAAAGTGAAGGCAGCATGTGGCTGGCAGACGTGAGCCCCCAATCCGATCTCCCTGGCAATAGCCCAGTCTCTACATTTTTTAAAACCTCCGTGGAAATAGTCATGGAGACCTAGGAGAGACCGGGGAGTACCTCCACTGAGTCCTGGGAGAATGTGGGGACTCCCACCTTCACACCAGGTGCAAGGGGCAGTCGAGTCTGGGCAGGGGCAGGTGGCTCTGCTGCACCTGTGAGGGCATCAGGGGAAGGAAGTGATCCACCCCAGCCTGGAAGGGCCAGGGAGAAGAGAGAAGGGGCTGTGCCAAAGGGATTTGAAGCCAGGGCAGGAGAAGTCTCCAGACCTTCAAGAAAGTCTGGGATGAAATTAAAAGAGGAAGAGGGAGGGAAAGAAACCCACATCTCTCACTCAGTAACTGGCAAGAAAGCAGTTTGCTCATCTTTCCACGCAGGGGCGCTGAAGCACGTTTTAATGCAGGAAAAAAAAAAAAAAGAGTTCCTAAGAACCCCAGAATGGTGCACATCTTTTGGTACCATTCCTGCTCCTCTCACTTCCTCCCCGTATGTGGGTGAGGTGGGGTTGCGGGGTGGGGAGGGGTTGGGGCAAGGAGGAGGCTTTGGAAAAGTTGCGGGCATCCCAGCTCTGCTGGCTTTGACTGATGTTTACTGAAAATGAGAAACGGGATTCGTGAAATATGCAAATAGGATGTGTGGGGAGGAGCGTTTAATGGGATTGCTGTGCAGGCTTCCAGCAGGCCTCCTCCAAAACATCTTTTCCTTCCCAGCTCCTCCAGGGCGGTGAAGCTGTTTTCAGAGAACAGCGAGCTTTGGGAAGGCAGGCAGGCAAGCAGGAGGGTCCATCAGCAGCCTGCCCTTCCTGAGTTGTTCTTCGCAGGCCAGCCTTTCTCCTCCAAGCTCATCTCACTTTTCCTATCCCGAGGTGCAATACTAAGCCCTCGGGGTTACTGCTAGGTTGTTGTTTCAAGTTAGGCAAAAACGTAGAAGGTGGGGGAGGGGGCACCTAGGGAGAGGTACCCCCTTGGAGTTAGCCCAGTGCTGCTGCGGGTGGTAGCAGGTGCTGGGAAGGCGGGGTGCAGAGTAATGTTCTGTGGGTGGGGCTGCCATCAAGATCTCTCCCCATCTTTGCTCGGCCTCCCTCATCTCCTTTTGGGTCTGATAGCTCTCTTCCCTGAGCCTTGGGGTGTGACCTCTGGCGGAGCCAGTGACGCCCCAGGTTCCCCAGCGCCCCAAACACTTACCCACCGGTCGTACCCATCCCGCATCCATCACCAAGGTGGCCCTGGCCCCCGCCTCCTTCCCCTCGTGTCTGCAGCTCGCGCCCAGCGCTCTAGGCGCCCGCCCTCTCCGGTGTGCCAGCCCCGGGCCACCCAGGCGCCATCAGCCAGCCGAGCGTCGGGACGGGAAGGGGAGAGGGAAGAAGGAGTCGCGCAAAAGGGGCGCGGGCGAGCGCGGAGATTCGCTCTGGATGTTCGCCGGTCTCTAGGTGGTGCCAGATCATGGGGCCTAGGCATTTCCCTCCCTCTTTATGCTTTTTTCTGCTTTCTTGCTGCCTTCGATCTCTCTGATTAGGCCCTGCTTGGTCTTGGCAAGGAGTTTAAAAAAAAAAAAAAAAAACAGCAAAGAGAGCGACAACACACCCAGACCCCCGCGTGGCCCAGCCGCCGGGGGAGGGGGCGGAGGAGGCTGAGCGAGCAGTCGCCCAGCTGCGACTTGAGAGTGGCGCGCGGAGCAGCGGCCGCCGCTGGCTCGCCTTTCTTCCGCTGCTTCTTCCCCGTCTCCTCCTGCCGTCTTCCCCCCCCCCTCTCCTTTTTTTTTTTTTTTTTTTTTTTTCCTTTCCTATTCTGGAGGAGGGTCGGGGAGCGGGAATCCCAGACAGAGCAAGCAAAATATTTCAAAGCCCCAGAGACAGACAAGCGAGAGCGCGCCCGGTGACTGACTGATGGCTTCGCTGTACCAGAGGTTCACCGGCAAGATCAACACCTCCCGGTCCTTTCCAGCGCCCCCGGAGGCGAGCCACCTCCTGGGCGGCCAGGGGCCGGAGGAGGACGGCGGCGCCGCGGCGAAGCCCCCCGGCCCGCAGGTGCAGGCGGCGGCGTCCCGGGAGCGCGGCGCGGCCGGCCGGCCCCGGTTCCAGTACCAGGCGCGGAGCGACGGTGACGAGGAGGACGTAAGCGCACCGCGGTGGGTGGGGGGCTGCGGCGGGGCTCGCCCTCCCGGTGCCCATCCCGGGCCCTTCCCCCATCGCTCCCCCCAGAACCCACCACACTCTCCTCGGTGCCGGATCTCGGTCACCGCGCTCCCAGAGCGGGGCTCCGTCTGCGGCCGTGGCGGCCGGGACTGGGCGGCTGGAGGCAGCCGGGTGTTGGTGCTGCGCCCGCTGGCATCTGCGATGCATTCGCCTGGGCTTCACTAGATGGGTGAATGTGTGTTTTGGAACCTCATGCCGCTGTGCATGCTCAGGATAGAATTCCCTCTGTGCTTACCAGTTGCTTTTGTTTCGTTCACTTCCTTGAAAAATCGCGAAAATGAAGTCTCACATCCTCGCACCCCTTCCCCCTCCTCCCCTCGTTCCTGAAATCTGTTTATTGGACCTTTCTTCGCCCTTCTGCTTATTTCTTGACTTGAATGCTTCTGTCTCTCCTTATTTCACACATAATACACATTTCTCGAAGTGGTCTGGAAAATAAGAAAAATTGTAGAAATACTAGCCCCAGAGGTCCAACCTCTGGCCAAGGGGCGAGTACAGCTTTCATTGGAAGGCCTCAAGCCAACTCTCTCCTGCCTCATGCCCTGGACTCTGGCTTAGGCTGATCACCAAAACTTCTTGCGAGCACCTTCTGCTACTTGGGCAGCCTGCTTTCAAAGGTTGGATTTGCATATCACCCTAGTAACCGGTGACTCATGCAGGATGCCACTGGCTCCTTAGATGGGTGGGTTGAGCCACCTCCCATCTCGTGTTGCTCCTGTCCGGAGGTTCAGAGGGACCTTAGCAAGGGAAAAAGAGAAAACTTGTTTTCCTTTGAGGCCTTAGATTCTCAGGGAAGATCAGAAAGGCAGGAGTGGCTTAGCCGGTGCAAGCCTTAGCAGGTGTGTGGCCTCCAAGAAGCAAAACAAGCGTGTTGGGTCTTAGCAGCCTCCCTGCTTTGAGGAGTTGTCCACTCAGAGGCAACTGTCAGCAGAATTGTAAAGCCCCTGACCTTTTGGCTCAGTCTTGCCTTCCCCTCCCAAGACTGTACAGAAGCCCGAACAGGAAGAGGTGGTCACAGGACGTGATGGTGTTTTAATACATCTGTGTGTACGTGTGGAGAAGGAAGGCATACACACAGTGAGAGTGTTTTCTCGTGGACAACTCTTAATTGCCAGGTTTGGTTGATGTTACCGATTTTTGTTTTGTTTTATGAGTGGAGGATATGGTCAGTCCAACAGAGATGATAAGTGTTTCTCTCTCTCTCTCTCTCTCTCTCTCTCTCTCTGTCACACACACACACACACACACACACACACACACACACACACACACACATCCCACAACCCTGCATGACATCTTGCAAGAGAGTTTCAATTTTTTCGTGACTCCCTTCCAGGTTTTGCTGGTTAGAGGGAAGGTATGGAGATGCCCCTTACTTGAGGGCCCAGTTTCTTTGGGATGTGACAAACCATTCTGTCATCAGGGTCACAGATCTGTATATCTGGAAAAAAGGAGGCTTATTGGGAAAAGTCATTCAGATTAAACCGTGGGTGTGGGGAAAAACAACTGAGCTGCAATGCAGACAGAAAAGATGCACTTTATTTTTTCCACCTTAAGTATGACTTTAAACTGTTGTTTGGAGAAAAAAAAAAAGTACATTTTTTCCCATTGGGCTGTAGGTGTCGCTAGGGGAAAGGAAAGGCAAGTGGCTGGATCTTCAGATGTTCTGTCCGTTCTTCTGCTTTAATCTTAGCGTTGAGCTTATATTTTCTTCCTTTCATTTTGACATGTATCTGGAACTGCTTCTCAGATAAGCAAGTGTTTTGCTGAGGGACAGATCGGGGGTGTTAGCAAATACAAATGATTTGTATTGATAAGGCTCTGAACATCTCTAATTTTGATTATGTCCTGATAGAAGTAGTTTTCCTGAAAAATTCAGAAAGATGCCTGCCTGCACACGTGTGTTGGTGTAGTATATCCATGGAGAGACAGCTTCCTATGCGTATGCATGTAATCTTGTTGTTTTACTATCTGGTCACAATGAGTTCACAGCTGCAAATAGCACATATGTGCTATTCAATAACAGGCTAGAGGATGCATGTACACCATGAGAATTGTAAGTTAACTGTGCTATATGTGACTATATGAGCTAATGGACATGTTAAGCATAATTATTATAATATTTAATGATACACATCACAAAGCAGGATATGAATACCAGTAAAATATACAATAAGGTTTGTTTGTTAAATTAAAGATGTATTAACTAGTCACTGCCACAAGAACTAAAAAAATAAATTAAAAAAAAAAAAACAACTTTAGTTCAAATCGGAAAGAAATGCTCCAAGTTCAAAAAAACAACTTTAGTATAATCTCTTAGAAAATTGGTAGAATCATATCCAGAAGCTCATTAAAAGTAGATGCGTATAAGAAAGAAACTAAGTTTTAGTCTGTGATTTCTTCCAGATTTCTTTCTTTCTCTTGACTAAAACTTAGTCAAGAGATATAAGTTAAAGAAAGTCACTAGTCATTAATTTTTTTTTAGATAGCTGCTCTGGTCAAGATTTAAAGAATCTGGAATAAGCATTTGCATCTCAAATTTAAAGCTAAATTGTATAAAATTATGCATTTTAAAGCTGCTGCCATTGCTGAGGAGTTCCTAGGCACTCGGAGCTGTCCGGGGTGCTGACACATTCTTGTTAGAGCTACACGCAGGAACTGTCCATGGCTCTTCTCTGACTGCTCAGTTGCTTCTTTGGCTTGTTGTGGAAAGTTATTCAAAGACAGAGTAATGGCTTCGCCACCTTGATGACTGAGCGTAGAGTTAGTTGCAGACCTTTTAAGAGTCATTGAATTTTTTACCTCTTGTCCTTCCAGTTAGAAAGGGAGAAATAAAAGGTAGTCTTTTTGGTGTGTGTGAACATACCTACATGTGATTGAGAGGGGAAAATTCCTCAAGAACCAAAATATATGTTAATTCAGCAAGTCAGCAAGGCGTGGGAAGATAGGGTATAGCAAGATGAACCAAATGTAAATGTGGAATGACCAGTAGCTAAACTAATAATGTATTAGCTAAACACACACTAAAACTTTCAAGAAAGTGAACTCTCACTCATGTAAGTCTACAGAAAATCCTTCTTTTACCAAGTAAGTGCAAAGAAGGTCTTAGAAAGAGAAATAATTTTGGAGCATCTTTTCCATTTCCTCAAAAATCCTAGATATATTTAAATACAAAATCAATTACTTGGGCAATGCCTCCACCTAATCAATTGTTGCTGCAGGTTAAATTTTGTTTCATGGACCTAGAAATAAGCTGATTCTTAAAGGACATGTTGCTGGAAGTGAATTTGGTAAAGGTCTGTAGAAATTAATTGTGACTAATTTTAAAATGCTGAACTCAGAGCATTTTTTTTTCTGATTTGCTACAGAACTTTGGATGCCTTGCGTATTTTATCAGAGTAGGAGATGTGTCACAGATACATTGTATGTTGCTATCTGCTTGATTTTTGAATGATATGTTATTTGCCAACAAAATGTGATGACGATAGGATTTTAAAACAAATTGATCAAATCAGGAATTGAATGATGGATCATGGCCCATGATGACCGGCAGCCTGAGAGGACCAACTTCATAATTATGTGTGTCTTCTACAACCAGCCAGTCTCTTTCTGGACTTGATTTTCCACTGGCCTGATATCAGTATCTTATTCTTGAGTCCCTGGGATTGGTGAACTTCATGATTTTTTAAATAGCTTGCCTTCACAAATATATTAATAAACTCTGCTAATGTCTTCTGTTTAATTGTAAATGGTTTTAAAATTAAATTTTTAACCATTTTTTTATTGTGTAAGAATGCTAATCCTTTCAAGTAATCCACTTGATTCTATTTTGTTCATGACCAATTCGATACTACTTAGTGTTTTAATCTTCTTCACCGTGGGGATATTGCAAGGTCATTCAGAACTTAATTTCACCAATGGAAAGTTGTGATGTCACTTATTTCTCATGCCGGTGGTCTGAGAAACAAAGTAGGTGTTAATAAGTGCCAGCTAGTGGAAATTGCTCAATGAATATTTTCTGCTGCCATAAGTAATAATTTCACTCCTTAATCACTCCTCCATCTGTTCTTTCTTTGCCTGCAAAAGCACAGAGCTTCTTCACTGTCCTGCACTCCCAGCTTTGTCGTCTTGTGATTTTTTTCTTCTCATCAGGCAGTTGAGTGATCCCCGTTTATTGTTGTCAGTAATCCTTCTTTGCTTGCCCGCAGTGGAGTCAGGCTTACGTGGCACTCTATTTTCATTACAGACACAGCACACGCAGTGTTGCTGATGCAATGACTTTCCTGTTTCCCCCTTAACCCTGATGTGGTTGCAACTTTTGTTCTTAAGATCACTACCTTCTCAAAATTTTGTATCTCATGACTTTCATGAGGTTACAAGAATCCATGTCTCTCTCTCTTCCTGAATTGGAGCTGTAATTTCTTTGGTTAATCACAACTTCCTCTTACCCTTTATGTAGTAGGGTAAAAGAACCTTTTTATATCTACACTGGTTTTCAGTATTTTATTCTTTCTCTTTTCTTGTTTTCTGTTACATCAGCAGAACTAAGTTTATTCTGATCATACTAAATTACAAGAAGACAGCTTTTGATTTCAAATGTTTACTTATTTTTGTTTGAAAGAGAAATTTATAAAGAGACATGAAGAGACAAAGAGTTTCCGCCTGCTGGTTAACTCTCTCAATACCTGCAATGGTTGGTTCTGGGTCAGTCCGAAGCCAGGAGCATCTTCTAGGTCTCGGATATGGGTATAGGGGCCCAAGGATTTAGGCCTTTTCATCTGTTGCTTTTCCCCAGCACATTAGCTGGAGCTGAATCCCAAGTGGAAAAGCAGAGACTCAACTGGCATCCATATGTTATGCTGGCCCCAGAGGTGGAAGCTTAATCCTCTATGTCATGATGCCAACCCCTAGGAGAGCCT